AATAAATGATATATATTTTAGCCCCCCTCCTACCACCCTGGTATATATATATAAATTTATATACTGTATATATATATTTAATTTTTTTATAAGTATTTGTTGATTAAAATTAATTGTCAAAAAAATAAATAATAATAATAATATATAACTAACCGGTCATAATATAATTATATGCTTTAATCAAACCATTAGGCATATTGTCATCAAACTTGATGTAGTTTTGTTGACCACTGGATGTCAGAATCGGTAGATATTGTTGTCTTAAAAGATCGGGTCGTTCCTCAAACTGGTCGTCAAAACATAGGCCGTAAACAGCAAAAATCGATGCCAACACAAACTGATCTCTATGTTCAACAATAGGCCAGTAAACTGCAGCCAAACTCCGGGCATCGGTTCGACGATCGCTTAGATAGCCGTCAATTAAATCCGCGCCAAACAAGTCCCGTACTCTGCCAGCAATTTCATTACGGACTTCATCTAACAGTTTGTTTGGCTTCAAGTAATACACGTTTTCGCCCATAAATTGCTGATCAATTTCAACGTCCAGACATTGTTTTAGGAAATTTTTATCAGACATTAAATAATTTTTATTATTATTATTTTTAAATTAATTTTTATTTATTTATTTTTTATATACTATAACTAAAATATATTTATTTTTTTACTTTTAATATTTAATAATATAGTAGTTTTTACATATATATATAAATTAATAACATAGTAATTATATAATTAATTATTTATGTTAACGTAATTAAAATAAAATTAAAAAAAATAAGTGTAAACTGATAGTTAAACCGACAATTTTAATGACGTTAATTGAAATAATAATAATTTAATTATTTATTTTTTTTATGAAATATATTTATAATAATTATAAAACTATTTTTGCCAAACATGAATAGTGAAATTTTTTGAATTTTGAATTTACTGAAAACAAAACAAAAATTTTAGGTAACTATACGATACCTAAAGGTATGATTTTGTATACATATCACGGAATTATATTGAGAAACAATTTGGACACAAAATATTGGACGACTACTAATGTCGATGACTTTATACCCGACCGTTTCATCGACAATACTGACGGTACTTATAGGACAACCAGTTGTTTGCAGGCATTCATACCTTTCGGTGTCGGACGTCGTAAATGTTTAGGCGAGAGTTTAGCCATCGCTCAGCTGTTTCTAGTTTTGGTCCGATTTATACAATCGACACAAAACTATGATATAGTTTTGGACAGTCATCAGGGTTTGGATGCCGACCCAAACAAATCAATAGTAATTAGTCCTAAAAATTATACGATTGTATTGAAAAGTAAAATTTAAAATATTATAAATGTTTTTATTAGTAATGCTATTATTTTGTTTTATTGATTATTACTTGTTATGATGTTATTAAAATTAACTTGGTAGTTTATTTAAGTCGCTTAAATAATTAACTATGTTTTGTATTTTACTTTTAATAAATATATTTTTTTTTGTGTTTTGTATAACTAAAATGTTTTTTTTATTTATATATAATTTAAATATTTTATATATTTATTTTATATATATTTTATATAGAGTAAAATTTCATCTAAAAACTATTAAACATATAAAAAAATATTTTTAATGTATTTATTTAATAAAATAAAATCTTATTATTTATTATTAATATTATGATAGTAAATACTGAATATAATAAAAATAAAATTAATATTTTATATTTATTGTATTAAAATTTTATAGTATTATATAAATTAAAAATATTTTTTTCTAATATATATTATAATGGTTTATAATAGACTGACCACCCATACAGGTGCCGTCTGTATTATACAGTAGTGTAGAGTCTGATATACAGGTGACAGGAAAAGGGGCTAAACTGTATAATGTAATAATGTACAGTTTTAAAATTAGGGAAACAATTAGTTATTACAGTATACAGGTTAGTCCATTTCCTGTCGCCTGTATTAACTAATTAATAAAATAACTTAAAATAAATTAAAATGACCAACATACAATTTTATCAAAGTTCAAAATTATCTACATCATTGGCCATCATTGGTCACTTTTTTTTCAATCAAATTTATTGTTGACCAGATAATTGTAATTAAAATTTTTATCAGACATTAATTAATTTTATTATTAATTTTATTATTAATTTTTATTATTAATTTTTATATTTTTTTGAGACTATAACTAAAATTAGCAATATATTTTTTTTTACTTTTAATATCTAATAATATAGTAGATTTTTCATATATATATATATATATTATAATATATATAAATTAATAACATAATAATTATATAATTAATTATTTATATTAACGTAATTATAAAAAAAATTAGTGTAAACTAATATTTGACCGACAATTTCAATGACGTTAATTGAAATGAATATAATTTTTAAATTTATATATATATATATATAATTATTTTAAAACTACTTATAATATCAATTATAGCTTTTAATTGAATATAAATATACTATAAATAATAAGTTTATGTGAATAATTAATAGTATATTATATAAAAATTTATTAATATATATATATATATTAAGTATATTATATATATATATATATATATATATAATATATAGTATATTTATATATACTAAATAAAAACAATTGTTTTCATAAGCCTTTATTTATTTTGTATATCTTAAAAAAAATTATATTGAATTTTTTTTTATATGTAATAAATAATGCTATGAATGTAGTAAAATATATAATAAATTAAACTAAAAAAATTGCATCAATGAAAAAAAGTTGTATTAATACTACTAATTAGATAAGATATCAAACAATAAGGTAGAAAAATACTTACAAACAAACAAACACACCTAACAAAAAACACATTTAATTTTTTTAGTTGATTTTAGTTGATTTTTATAATTATATTAATTGAAAATAATTTGATTATTATATATGTTAATTATAATTGTTAATTAACCCTTTTTTTTCTAGTATTAAATAATAGTGATTTAAACTAATAAATATATATATATATATATATATATATATATATATATATATATATATATATAACATACTGTATATTTATAACATTTCTAATCACCAAAAAGTTGAATCACCAATAAAAAGGTAAATATTAATTGAATTTATATATCAATATCAAACTACAACTGACAAATTTTTTATGACAATGTAAATTTGTAGTCAAGAAATAATAGTTTAATATAAAAAAAGAATAATCAAAATCAGATTTGTAGTTTTATTTTTATACCTTGTTATGTTTGTCATAAATCACATTGTATAAAATTGTCTAAAATAAAATTGACGTTATTTATAAATATTATATACTTATTAAATGAAGATTTTCATATTATTACTAAATCTAAAAACAAAATTTTAATATGTCGACTAGTTTTCAAAATAATCGACTTTCAATATAAATTGTAATATCAAATTACAATAGTGTGATTTATATTGAAAGTCGATTATTTCGAAAACTAGTCGACATATTAAAATTTTGTTTTTAGAAATAATAATATAATTGAAAATTTAATCTTATAAATATATAATAGTCATAAATTACGTCATTTTTATTTTAGACTATTTTATATAATATGATTTATGACAAACTTGAGGAGCCATATAAACAAAACTACCAATTCGATTTTGATGATTCTTTTTTTATATTAAACTATTATTTCTTGACTACAAATTTACATTGTCATAAAAAATTTGTCAGTTGTAGTTTGACCTGTAGCATAGTGTCTTTCATTGGTCCCGATATTTTGTATATCTGGTCATCCTAGTTTTGTGATTGTGTGTATATTAAGTGTGGTCGATATGATATTCTTAAATGTATTTTACAGAATTAAATTATCTCTAATTGTTTAAAAGTTATTCAAAAAATACGCGGCTCAAGATCAATTGACCGCCTCTTTATATATATATATATATATATATATATATATATTTATTTATTAGATTTAATATAATGTTAAATTTTTTTTTTAAATTAAGTAATTTAAAAAAATTATTTATATTATATAAGATGAAGTCAATTATAATTAGGAAAACTTTGATTTATTTAAAAATACAATCAATTAAAATAATATTTATTTATTTTTTTTAAAAAATACAAGACATGTCCGAAAATGTAGATTTAAATCAAATAATCGATGGCATAGTATCGGTAAAAGACACGGAATTTTCGGCCAAATGTTCGGCTAAACTAATGAATTGTTTGCAATCTATGGTCAAAATCGATGATTTTGTTGACAAATCAATGCTATTATTATTATCAGATGATTGGAAACAAACTAATAAAAAACAATATAAAACTAGTTTAGAAAGTTTAAGACAATTGAGACAAATCTATAGTCAATCGCCGGAAAAATTGATTGATATTCAAAAACAAATAATACAATTGAAAATTGATTTTAACGATAATTATCTGAAAATGTCGGCTAATAGGGTAGTGGCCATCAAATGTGAGATAATTAAAAAATTAAATAAAATCAATAGCAATACTGATAATCAAATCGATGATGAAAAACAACAAACACTGATGAAAACAATTGACAATAACTTAAATAATAATGATTTGTTCAATAATTTATTCATACAAATAATTTATTTGAATAACAAATTGGATAAATTAAGACAAAAACAATTGTCAATTGATTTAGTTGGCAATCAATTGATTAATAAATCAATATCTTTGAGCCCATCAACAGAGCCACAGCGGTCATCGGAAGCGCAGTCACCGGTACCTCAGTTACAGTCACCGGCACCCGAATTACCACCATTACAGTCACCGGCAGTCGAGTTACCGCCATTGCAATCACCGGCACCCGAATTACCACCATTACAGTCACCGGCAGTCGAGTTACCGCCATTGCAATCACCGGCACCCGAGTTACCACCATTACAGTCACCGGCAGTCGAGTTACCGCCATTGCAATCACCGGCACCCGAGTTACCACCATTACAGTCACCGGCAGCGGAATTACCGACATTGGAGTCAACGGAATCGCTGCAGCAGTTATTGGAACCGCAGTCATCGTTGTCGCCATCATTGCAGCCGTCTATTAAACTGGATATTTTACAAAATGCCTTAAAAAATCTTAAGTCACCGCCACTGACACCAAAGTCATCGCCTGTACCGTCGCCTCAGTCACCGGTACCGCAATTAACGCCAATGCAGTCACCGGCACCAGAATTACCGACACCAGAATTACCGGCACCAGAATTACCGACACCAAAATTACCGACACCAGAATTACCGGCACCAGAATTACCGACACCAGAATTACCGACACCAGAATTACCGGCACCTGAATTATTGCCATTGCAGTCACCGGCTCCGGAGTTACCATCATTGCCGCCACCGGCACCTGAGTTACAACCGTTGGAGTCATTGGAACCGCAATCACCGTCGCCGCCATCATTGCAGCCGACTATTAAACTGGATATTTTACAAAATGCCCTAAAAAATCTTAGGTCAGCGCCACCGAAGACATCTGCACCGGCGCCGCAATTATCGTCCGAACCATTGTCCCAATTACCGGCTCTACAGTCCAAGCATTCATTGGCACCGTCGAAATCGCAGTCGCAGTCAATCACGGACTCATCTATCAAACTAGATATCTTGCAAAATGCATTGAAAAATCTGAAAAAGTCAACGACACTACCGCGAGGACCGCAGCCATCGGGAAATCATCAGTTAGTTCAGCCACCGACACACAAGTTACCTACTGGGCCGCCGACGCCGCTGCCGCAGACATCATCTAAGCCGCCGCGGTCACCGGGACTACAGTTGTCGACACAACAGCCACAATCAACTGGACCGTCGCCGCCGTCGCCGCCGCAAACATTGCCCAAACCTCAGCGATCAATAGTATTGCAGTCATCCAGTCTGCCGCCTAAGTCTTTGGGAACTCAGTTATCGGCAGCGCCGCCACAGTCATCGGTATGGCCGCCGCCACCATCACCACCACCACTAGCGTCGCCATTGCAGTCTCCGACACTGCAATCATCGGCATGGCCGCCGCCGCCACCACCACCACCACTGACCTCGCAATTCGAGTCACCGACACTGCAATCATCGGAATGGCCATCACCACCGGCGCCTCTATCGGAGTTTCCGGAAGTGCACTCATCTGTATGGCCACCACCACCACCGCCGGCGTCACCATCGCAGTCTCCGGCACTGCAATCATCGGTATGGCCGCCACTACCACCACCACTGGCGTTGCCAGCACAGTATCCGGCACTGCAATCATCGGAAACGCCGCCACCACCACCACCACCGCCACCGCCGCCACCGCCGCCAATGACAGCTATAGCAATAAATCCAGAAGCTATCAGAGCCGACACACTTAACGGTTCAACTAAGACATCGCCGCCACCGCCGTCGCTGTCAGGCCTGCCGTCCATTAATACAACTGTATTTGAAAAGGCTATGAAAAATCTGAAATCACGCCAACAACTGACTGGCGAATCCAGTAGTCTTGTGGACAACAAATCGGAACCGATTGGCGGTAGTAGTAGTAGTAATGATATCTATAATGCATTAAAACGACAAATTTCTGGACGTAAACAACCAGAAGACAGTTCATCTGATGATGACTTCGAGGATGACTTCGAGGATAATAACTTTGATGTCTAAGAAAAAAAATATAAATATTTTTTTTGTCAATACAATTGATTTTTTTTTGTAATACAATTTGTTTTTTTCTACTAATTTTTTTGTTAAAATTTAAACTATTCAATAGTATAGTATTAAATTTTTTTTTTAAATATATATAAATTAATTAATCTAAAGTATTTAAAGTTTAATTTAAGTAATAATTTTTTAACAACTATTTTTTTAGAAAATTTCATTTAAATATAGCATTTAATTATAAATTGTTTTGTTTTATATATATGTTTGTTTTTTACTAATAATTAATAATTATTTATTAAACATTTATTTCAATTTATTTTTTTTGTTTTATCAAAAAATATGTGTTAATAATAACAACTCGTCCGACAAACTGATGATAACAATCGGTAGTTACAAAAAACAAAAATTGTTGGCAATTGTTGTCAATCTATGTATTTTGAACATCAATTGTAATCAATTTATACACCAAAAAAAAACAAACAAATAAACAAAAATAAACTATATTTAAAACTTTTTAATTATAATATTTTATATATTTTTATAATACAATAATTTTATTTAAACAACAAAACTATAATCAATTAAATAGATCTCTCTCTCTCTCTCTCTATCACTATCTCTCTCTCTCTCTCTCTCTCTCTCTCTCTCTCTCTCTATCACTATCTCTCTCTCTCTCTCTTTCTTTCTCTCTCTCTCTCTCTCTCTCTTTCGTCTTCCGTTTAAGATTTATAGCAAAAACCCCATGCGCGAGATTAATGAATAACCCTTTTATATATGAGAAGTCTTGGGGTTATTGAACCCTTAAAATAATAATAATAATAATCAAACAATTGATCCAATTGTAGGCATTAATTGGTTTATCTAATATTGTGTCTAATTGTCTAACCATTTGAATCAAGTATTTGCCGTACAATTGATTTTGAATTAATTTTATGTTTTCTATATATATATATTATATATATTCTGGCACTTCATCAGCAATTAAATGAGACGTTTAACTATAGTTAATGAAATTTTTGTATCATTTTTTTTTTTTAAATTATAAAATATTAAATCAACCAATCAATCAAACAAACAATTAATTAATTAATTAATTAAATATTATTATTATTATCTAAGATAAATAATTTTTTTTAAATTAAAAACTATATTATCAACAAAAAAAACTTATTTTTATCAGTTATTTACTTTATTTTCTTAAAAAAATTAATTTATTATAATATTAATTTAGATTATTTTATATATAATATATTATAAAATTATAATAAATTTAATTAACTAATTTTACTTAATTTCAAATATTAATAAAATTATTAAAAAATTATTTTTATATTTTTATTCATTTTAAGTTTTACTCATCAATACAATCGTATAATTTTTAGGACTAATTACAAAGGATTTGTCTGGATTTGGATCCAAACCCTGATGACTGTCCAAAACTATATCATAGTTTCGGGTCGATTGTAGAAAACGGACACCGAACGGTATGAATGCCTGAGAAAAACTGGTTGTCCTATAAGTACCGTCAGTAGTGTCGATGAAACGGTCGGGTATAAAGTCGTCGGCATTAGCGGTCGTCCAATATTTTGTGTCCAAATTGTTTCTCTTATAAATCCCTGATATGTATTCAAAATCATACCTTTAGGTATTGTATAGGTTGCTAAAATTTTTTTGTTTTATATATTTACAACAACAAAAAGTAAATTAAATTAAAATTATTATTTGTAATTATTATATACAGTAAATATATTATTATTATTATTATTATTATTATTATATATCATATAAATATAGTTAAAGTTAATTATTGTAAAATCAAATAATTAGTAAATAGAAATTTTTAACAACAAAAAATAAAACAAAAATCATTTCAAATAATAAAAATCGCTTTAATATTAAATTATTTTTATATTTAAGAAAAAAAAACTTATTTTGTTCATTTAAAATTAACTTTATTATTAATAATAATAATATAACTAAAACTAAACTAAAATCCGATTAAATAAATCATGTAATAATCTAACTTTTTTTTAACAATTAGTTACTTAGTTAATAAGTTAATTAATTAATTAATTAACCAATGTACATTTAATTATTAAAATCTATTTATAAATGTGACACAATTTAGCATAATTTCTGACTTCGTATGAAAAATTGTCGACAATTTGTTTGACCAGTAAATCATTGCCGTAATCATTGGCCGCCAACTGTTGATACTTATTGAACATATTGTCCGCAAATTTTTTAATTTCCGATTTCATATCCAACTCATCGAATACCCGACGAATTTGTTGAACCCGATCGGCATTTTCATGTCCATAGTTGTCCACCAGTTGGGCCAGTTGTCTATCGTCGGCCAATTGCATTGCCCGACAAATCGGCCAGGTACATTTACCCTCTTGGATATCTGTGCCATGTTCATAGTAATCTTGATAGTCGTTCAGAGCACCGGCCAATATACCCATACCTATCAAATAGTTTTCAATAGTTTCAACAAATGTATTGTCGTATTGTTGTTTGTAAATAATTGCTTTATTTTTTTTGTTAGTAATTTTTTTTATTGTAAACAAAAATTAATTATTAATAATTTTTATATATATATACTGTATATATTGCTACTGGTTAAAAATAAACAAAAACATTTATTACCTAGTTTAAATTGATAGACATAGGCTGAAAATGCATTTTTGTACTTGTTTAGTTTTTCAAATATAGCCATGTTGAAATCAGTTAATTTTAGATTTTTATTTTGTGTTGATATACTGTACATCATATCCAATGACTGACCCATTGATATTTTTTCAATAAACTATATATTTATATAAAAGATTTAATTTATTTATGTTATTTTTAATTATAATTAAAAATAAGTTATATATAAATATATATATATAGTACAGTATAATATAATAATTTATAAATACTATATGTATTCTATAGTTTTTGTTTTAATTATAAATTTATAATTAAAATATAATTAAATTTATTTATAGCGTGTTTTAATGTTTCAGATTTACTTTAAAAATATAAATAAATAAATAAATTTAACTAAAATAATGATAATTTATTGTAAATTTACTGGGAATTTACTGGGAATTAACTGGGATTTTACTGGGAATTTAATGATAATTTATTAGGAATTTAATGAGAATTTATAGGGAATTTATAGGGAATTTAGTGGGAATTTATTGGGAATTTACTCAAATTTAGGAAAATTTGTCGCTTAAAACTACTACTACTACTACTGTACTAACCTCTTGAATGCATTGAACAATTTGAATATAATTAGGATGACCATGGTAATATTGGTAAACAATTTTGTTGGACACTGACAACATAACTGTGCTATCGTTAAGTGCCGACACTCCTACTGATGGCTAATTAAAATATTAAAATAAAAAAATTCAATAATAATAATAATAATATAACATTGAAAATATTTGTTGTTGTTGTTGTTGTTGCTTAAACATACAACAACAACAAAACAATATATTTTAAAAATATTTGCTAGATAATATTTTTTGTTGTTGTTGAATTTATTGAAAAACCAAAACTAAATAAAACTAAATAAAAAACTAAATAAAACTAAATAAAAAACTAAATAAAAAAACTTAATAAAAAACTTAATAAAAAACTTAATAAAAAACTAAATAAAAAACTAAATAAAAAACTAAATAAAACTAAATAAAACTAATTAATTAAATTATAATTCAACTATACCAATGTATACCAACTGGGTACACCATATCTGCTTGGTGATTTATCCATAATATCATCCAATAAAAACAAACTCATTGTTATTAATTCAACGGCCACTGCCAATGCATATACCGATTCATTGTCGACTACTATTGACTGTTGAGTATTACCATCATTGACGGCACCGGACTCTAGTTGTTGTTGACCGCTATGTTGTTGTTCACCGGTTAGTATACGATAGCTTAGTATAAATCGTTGACCGTATTTGAGTCTCGGGTGTTGAACATAGAAATAATCAAACAATTGATCCAATCGTGGCCTCAATTCCGTAATATCATTGCCGTTGCCAACCATTGAATCAAGTATTTGACTGATAATCGACAGAAAATATTTGCGATATTCAGGCAATTCATCGGCAATTCTGGACACATGTAGTGGTCGATCAAATTCAGACCTTTTTTTTAAAAAAAAATAATAAATTTGGAAAAAATTAATTAATTAAATATTATTATTAAATATATATATATATATTTTTAAAAAAATATTTTCCATAATCTTACATGTTCATTTTATAGATATTTTATACTTATAATAACTATTTTTTTAGTAACAATTTATATAATTAATAAAATTTAAAAAAAATATTAGATATATATATATATTCCTGTATACAGTACTAGTATTAACATTTAAATTGTTTGTTTTTTTATGACTTGCTTGAAATTTACATATATATATGTGTGTTAATGTTTTCAATGAATAGTCATTTTTTTTTGAAACTATAATCATTAAATAAATACTGTATAATATAATCATTAAATTTGAAGATATTCTAAAGGAGTTGGGGATTGGGTGTATGTAGTGTTGGTAATTTTTCGCAATTCAATTTTCGATTGCCGCAATTGCGGAAAATTGCGTGAAATTGCTTGAAATTGCGCGCATGAGGGAATGTATAAAAATTAACTTTGACAATGTTAAAAATTTAGTTTACTATAGATTAAGATAATTTACTAATTTATTATTATTTCTACATGGTTTTTAGATGGCAATATTTTATGATTAAATAATTAAAATTAATATAATTAATTTATGTTTTTATTCACATTGCTTTACCATTTAAATTTTGTTAATTTTTAAAAAATTATAAATTGTTCTATGTTACAATTGCGATTTTCGCAATCGAGTCTTATGCAATTGCGGCAATTTCACGCAATTTCCGACCAATGCAATTGCGCATTTTGCAATCGGTACATCACTAGGTGTATGTATGCATGTCTAAGCGTATGTATGTGTTTATATGTTTGTGTGTATGTGTTTATTTATATACAGTATATATATATATATATATACTTATATAGGGGAAATCTTAATTAGCGGCGCCGACGCCTACAGCGGCGATACATTTTTTTACAAAATAATATATATAAGCGGCGATAATGAAAAAATATTTTATATAAATAAATAATATAAATATATTTAATACTCACTCGAAATAATTTATAATGATAAAATTTTATCTAAAAATTGCTACCGTCATTTTTTATCTATATTTTTATTTAAAAATATGATTTAATTTAATGAATTTTTATTAATAATATAAAAACTATAGTTTATAAAATGATGGTAACAGTTTTTAAATAAAATTTTATCATTATAAATTATTTCGAGTGTGTTTTAAATATATATATATATTATATATATAAAATCAGCCACAAAATAGACGGAACTAATATTTTTCTTATATCTAAAAAACAAAAAGACCTAGGACATGTATATAATAATATGGTTTCTTAGAGTGTACAAAATAATGTGATCAAATTTTTTATAAAATTTCTTAAAAATAGAAATGATAAAAATATTTATCACAAAATCTATAAAATTTATAATAAACTAAAGAAAAAATAATATGACATGTGTTTCAGCAGTTTTCAAAAAAAAATAATTTTTGAAACGGAAAAGTAATATATTATTTATAAAATTTTATATTATATTTTTTATATTTAATTAGAGTAGTTTATTTTTTTCTAAAATAAATAAAAACTGTCAAGCACGTGTCAAGTTATTTTTTATCTAGTTTATATACATTTATACATTATATGTTTATCATTATCTATTATAGATTTCGTGATATGATATTATTTTGATCATTTCTATCTTAAAAATTTTATAAAAAAAATTGGTCATACTATTTTGTACGTTTCAATAAACCATAGTATCATATTGAATATCAAGGTCTTAGGTCTTTTTGTTATTGAGATATAAGAAAAATATTGGTTCCGCCTATTTTGTCTCTGATTTTATAATAAATATTTTTTTTCATTATCGCCGCTGTCGGTGCCGTTAATTAAGATTTTCCCACTAATATATATATATATATATTGAATATTTACTAAAATGTCGTAAAATTTGATTATATTAAAATAAATTATATTTAAAAAAAAATTAACTATTCAAGGAAACAAATAAATTTTGTTGCTTGTAATGATTTGTTTGTAAATTACAGAAAAAAAAACAATTTCAAGTATTTAATATAATTAATCAAATTATACGGCATATTAGTATATATTCAATATATATATATATATATATATATATATTAGTATATATTTTATAATGTATATATATATTAAAACACATAAACTTACATACACACACACACACACATATGAAAACTATTTTAATAAAAAAAATCAATTTGCTTATAAATTTTTTTTAAAATGCAAAATAATATTTTTTTTATAAAAAAATACATTTATAGTTTAGAAATAAATTTACAATCACAATTAAAAAAAGTAATTTATTTACAAAATAAATAAAGTATAATGTAAAGTTATGTTAGTTGATTAAATAAATATTTTTTTTCAATATAAAAAAATACATTAAAAGTTTAGAAATTATTGAATTATAATTTATTATAATTAAATATATATTACAAATAATATTTTTATAGTTTAATATTTAATTAGCAAAATAAAATTTATTGTTTATTAAATATTAATTATAAGATAGTTTCGCAAATAAAATAAAATTTTTACTCATTTTATATTAATATTATACCAAATCAAATCAAATTTTATTAAATAAATACTGTTATAAATTTTCTAGTTAATTTAGTTATACCTACAATTATTGTACATGTTTATTTGATAAAAAAATTGATTTTTATATATATAGTTTTTAATTTTAATTATACAGTAAGTTATAATATTTAACAGAAAAACTTATTTATTTTATAGAATATTTAATTAATAAATTGTTAAAATAAATAAATTTATATTACAAATAATATTTTTGTATTTTCACGAATTCCTGAAAGGAATACGTATATGCATTCTAAAAGTCTGTCTGTCTGTCTGTCGGTCTGTCTGTCCCACGAGGACATAGGTTCGAATCCAGGCTCTGCTACAAAATTTTTTTTGATTTTTTGTTGTTGATTTTTTCTTTTTTATGTTAAGGTTAATTCAACTGGTTAATATTTATTAGCAAATATATGAATTTTAAGATAGTTTAGAAAATAAAATAAATTTATTAAAATAACGTTTACTCATGCTATGACATTCAAATAAACTATTAATATATAACTGTATATTATATATAATATATATTTTTATATGTATATATATTTGTATATATTATATATACTGTATATATATTTTTAGTTAATAACTATAGTACTAATGTGTTAGTTAGATAAACACTGAGTTTTTTTTAAATTGATTTTAATTTTATTATAAGTTACAGTTAACAGAAAATCTTATTATTTTTATAGAATATTTAATTAATAAATTGTTTTTTCGACATTTAAAACAATAAATACATTATGTTTTTGTTTAAACAATTATATTCATTAATATTTCTAATAGATTTATGGACAACAATATTATGTTTATTATTAGGTTTTCTAGTCTATAAATTGTCAAAATTTTATTACCAATATTATAGTCTACCTCCCGGTCCATTTCCATTGCCAATAATAGGCAATATGTTATGTAAGTTATTAAATAAAATAAAAATCATAAAAATTAAAATAAAATATTTGTACAGTATATATATATATAGTTTATCTTAAATTAATATTTATTAATTAGCTATTTTACCAAAATTTTGGGACGACTCGATTAGGGAAATGGCTAAAAAATATGGACCAATATTTACCGTCTATTTTGGTAATAATCCTCAAATAATTATAACCGATGCCGACATCGCTAGACAAGTGTTTAGTAAAAATGAATTTTCTGGTCGTTTTCACAATTATTTCGGTAATAAAAATAAATTTAATAAAACTATTACTATATATATAAATCCTGTAAATAATATATAAAAAAATATTTTATATATTATTCAAAGTTATCAAAAGTTTTCGATTTTAGGTGGGGTTATAGGGGTGTAAAATGGCAAAAATGCTTGGGAGTATAGGGGGGGTGATTTTTTATTGCATTTTTAAATGTCAATTTTTGCCAAATTTGAGTAAATTCCTAATAAATTCCCAATAAATTCCCAATAAATTCCCAATAAATTCCCAATAAATTCCCAATAAATTCCCAATACATTCCCAATAAATTCCCACTAAATTCCCACTAAATTCTCAATATATTCCCAATATATTCTCATTATATTCCCATTATATTATTATATAATTATAATATTACATACTGTATAATATAACTTATAAAACAAAACTGTAAAAATAAATTATAATTATTACTATAATATAAATCTATAGTACAGTAATTATATATGATATTATTAATAATTGATTTTTAAAATTTTTATTATTATTATTTTAAGCATCATTGTTGGCCAATGGTGTAGCTATGGCTGATTTTGGGCACAGTTGGAAAGCACTTAGACGTGTAGCGCACATGGCAGCAATGTACATTGGTCATTTTATCAAAAAAAAAAATAAAATAAAATAATACTAGATTTTATTATTATTATTAAATAGCTTTAAAATATAAATATTAAAATATTTTTAAAATTTTTATTTAATAATTATTTAGGAATTATTCAATGAATGAAAAGTTAGAGAACATAGTCGTCGATTGTGTGGACAAAACAGTTGAGTTGATGTTGGAAAGGGAGGGTCCGGACAAACCTATTAAACCTAACGATTATATATATATGATATTTCTTAACATTTTGGCCAACAGTGCGTTCAATGAAAAGTAAAAATTAAAAAAAAAACAATAAAATTTTATATACTTTATATATACTGTATATATAAATAATGTTAATATTATTTAATTAATATTTTATTATTTAATTAATGTATTATTATTTAACTAATATATTATTATTTAATTAATATATTATTATTTAACTAATATATTATTATTTAATTAATATATTATTATTTAATTAATATATTATTATTTAATTTATATATATTATTATTATTATTTAATTATTATTATTTAATTATTATTATTTAATTATTATTATTTAATTAATATTATTTAATTATTATTATTTAATTATTATTATTTAATTATTATTATTTAATTAATATTATTTAATTATTATTATTTAATTATTATTATTTAATTATTATTATTTAATTATTATTATTTAATTATTATTATTTAATTATTATTATTTAATTATTATTATTTAATTATTATTATTTAATTATTATTATTTAATTATTATTATTTAATTATTATTATTTAATTATTATTATTTAATTATTATTATTTAATTATTATTATTTAATTATTATTAGTCGGGGAGATTTTATCAGTGACGATGAGTTTAAAAAATATAAATATGCTTTGAAAGACATTAATCATGAATTTAAAATCAAATCAAAATTCAGAGAATATTTAAAATCATTGAAATGGTTTGATCGTAAAGTCTATGAAAAAAAGTCAAAAGTTTTCAGTGAAATGCGTGAATTGATTTTGAAAAAATTCAAATTACATTACATTGATTATAATCCTAATTTTCAACGAGATTTTTGCGATACACTTATTGAAGCTAAAAATGTTGCCATCAATGAGGGCCGCAAATCGGCTGACTATCTAACCGATGATCGACTGTCGATGTGTGTGTTTGATATGTTTTTTGCCGGAATAGAGACATCGGAGATAACATTTCAATGGTTGCTCCTATTGATGACCTATTATCCAGAAATGCAGAATCGATTGAAACAGGAAATTGAAACAAAAATTGGTAACCGATTGCCCCGACATCAGGACAGACAACAGTGTCCATATGTGATGGCATTTATTGCCGAAACATTAAGATTCAGAAATGTTTTACCACTTGGTTTGCCTCACAAGTCTATGGTCGACAGCAAAATAGGTAACAATATATTTATATAATAATAATAATTTAATTTTGTTTTTTTATATTAATTGAATAAAACAAAATTATTTTTAGGAAACTATACGATACCTTAAGGTATGATTTTGTATGTATATCAGGGAATTATATTGAGAAACAATTTGGACACAAAATATTGGACGACTACTAATGTCGATGACTTTATACCCGACCGTTTCATCGACACTATTGACGGTACTTTTAGGACGACCTGTTTTCCTGCATTCATACCCTTCAGTGTCGGACGTCGTCAATGTTTGGGCGAAAGTTTAGCCATTGCTGACCTGTTTTTTGTTTTGGTCCGATTTATACAATCGACACAACAGTATGATATAGTTTTGGACAGTCATCAGGGTTTGGATGCCGACCCAAACGTTTCAATAGAACTTAGTCCTAGAAATTATACGATTGTATTGAAAAGTAAAAATTAAATTATAATAAAGATTTTATGTAATATTTTTTTTAATACTTATTATCATATTTCAAATGAAAATTTTATTACTGTTATTCAATTTAATAATTAAATTCTTGAATATTTCCATGTAAATTCCTGTATAAATTCCCAGACAAATACGTAAATTTTCCCATAATATAAAAAGTATAAAAAAATTAATTAAAACTAAAAAATTAAATTATGTATTTAAAATTTAAAAATAGTTGATAAGAACATTAATGAAAATGAATGTGTTATTTTTTAATATTTTAATAGTTTATAACTTTAAATATTTTAATAATTTATAACTTTTAATATAATTAATTATATAAATAATAATTAAATGATAATTAATGTTTATAGTTTATAGGTACACAATTTTATTTTTTTAATGTTATTATTATAGTTATTAATAAAACTAAATTGTAATAAAACTAAATAAAAATTGTAATATGATTACTGTACTTAATATAATTTTTTAGTTAAATATTTCAATTAATATGTTATTTTTTAAATGAGTTTTAACGTGATTTTAAATATTTTACTTATTTTTAATTAATAATTAGATTTATATAAATTTTAAAAACATAATAACATTTACTAAAACAATATCAATATCAATTAAAATCTTAAATTTTTATAAACTTCAAAAAAATTATAACCCATTTACTTAACCCTGAGTATATTATAATACAATTAAAAAATTTTTTATATAAATATTTTTTTTTAAACAATTTAATAGATATATATTTTAGTAATGGTATGTCTTGATGTCAAATAAACTAATTTAATAGTTTTCAATTATTCATAAATTATTAATAAAATTTTATAATATTAATAATTAAAATTTATTTCAAATTATAATTAAAAAATAATAAGTTTATATTATTAATTAATTGTACATTATTATATATTAACTTAAATAAAAAAAAATAAATAAATATTTTCATAAGCCGTTATTTATTTTGTAGTTTTTTTTTAAAAAAAATCAATATAATTATTTTCTAATGTAATAAATCTAATGTAATAAATACTGCTATAAATTTTAATCAAATGTTATAAATATATAATAAATTAAACTAAATAAAAATTACATCAATGAAAATAACATTAAAAAAAATATTGTTGTATTAATAGATAAGATATCAAACAATAAGTTACATATACTTACACAAACAAACACACCTAACAAAAAAAACACATTTAGTTTTTTAAGTTTTAGTTTTTAGTTGATTTTTAGTTGATTTTTATAATTATATTAATTTAAAATAATTTGATTATTATATGTTAATTATTATTGTTAATTAACCTTGGTGTCAAGTATTAAAATAATTGTGATATAAAATTAATATATATATATCAATATATATAATAATATACTGTATATTTGTATAACATTACTAACCATTAAAAGTTATCACCAAAAAAATCAAAGGTAAATATTAATTGATTTTATATATCAATATATATATATATTATTATATTTAATATAATAAATCTCTAAATAATGTTAAAATTTCAAAGAAAATTAATTGATTTTTTTTATTAAAAATTATTTATATTATATAAGTTAAATTCAATTATAATTAGGAAAACTTTTATTTATTTAAAAATACAATCAATTAAAATAATATTTATTTATTTTTTTTAAAAAATACAAGACATGTCCGAAAATGTAGATTTAAATCAAATAATCGATGGCATAGTATCGGTAAAAGACAATGAATTTTCGGCCAAATGTTCGGCTAAACTAATTGATTGTTTAAAATCTATGGTTAAAATCGATGATTTTGTTGACAAATCAATGCTATTATTATCATCAGATGATTGGAAACAAACTAATAAAAAACAATATAAAACTAGTTTAGAAAGTTTAAGACAATTGAGACAAATCTATAGTCAATTGCCGAAACAATTGATTGATATTCAAAAGCTGATAATGCAATTGAAAATTGAATTTAACGATAACTATCTGAAAATGTCGGCTAATCGGGTAGTGGCCATCAAATGTGATATAATTAAGAAAACTAATAATAAAATCAATAGTAGTAATATTGATAATCAAAACGATGATGAAAAACAACAATCACTGATGAAAACAATTGACAATAACTTTACTAATATTGATTTGTTGAATAATTTATTCATACAAATAATTTATTTGAATAACAAATTGGATAAATTAAGACAAAAACAATTGTCAATCGATTTATTGGACAATCAATTGATTAACAAATCAATAACTTTGAGCCCATCAGCAGCGCCACAGCAATCACCCGAACCGCAGTCACCGGTACCTCAGTTACAGCAGACACGGGAGACATCGCAGACACCGCCATCGCAGTCACAAAAACCAGAGTTATTACAATTGGATTCACCCGTCCAGGAGTTACCGCTGCCGCAGACTCAGGTACAGGAGTTACCGCTACCGCAAACACCGGTACAGAAGTTACCGCTGCCGCAGACACCGGTACAGGAGTTACCGCAGATACCGGTAGAAGAGTTACCGCTGCCGCAGACACCGGTACAGGAGTTATCGCAGACACCGGTACAGGAGTTACCGCAGACACCGGTACAGGAGTTACCGCAGATACCGGTAGAAGAGTTACCGCTGCCGCAGACACCGGTACAGGAGTTATCGCAGACACCGGTACAGGAGTTACCGCAGACACCGGTACAGGAGTTACCGCAAACACCGGTACAGGAGTTACCGCAGACACCGGTACAGGAGTTACCGCAGACAACGGTACAGGAGTTACCGCTGCCGCAGACACCGGTACAGGAGTTACCGCTGACACCGGTACAGGAGTTACCGCTACCGCAAACACCGGTACAGAAGTTACCGCTGCCGCAAACACCGGTACAGGAGTTACCGCAGACACCGGTACAGGAGTTACCGCTTCCGCAAATACCCTTACAGGAGTTACCGCAGACACCGGTACAGGAGTTACCGCTGACACCGGTACAGGAGCTACCGCAGACACCGGTACAGGAGTTACCGCTGACACCGGTACAGGAGTTACCGCTGCCGCAGACACCGGTACAGGAGTTACCGACATTGCCGTCACCAGCACCGGAGTTATCACCGTTGGAGTCATTGGAACCGCAATCACCGGCGCCGCCATCATTACAACCATCTATTAAACTCGATGTTTTACAAAGTGCCTTAAAAAACCTAAAGTCACCGCGACTGACACCGAAGTCATCAACTGCACCGTCGCCGCAGTCACCGATAAGCCAATCATCGGTACAGCAGATGCAGTCAGCGGTAGCCCCACATTCAACGTCATCGCAATCATTGGAACCAAATCCGCAGTCACCGATACCTCAATTACCGCCAATGCCGACGCCGGCACCCGATTTACCACCATTACAGTCACCGGCACCTGAATTACCGCAACCGCAGTTACCGGCACCGGAATTATTGCCAATGGAAGCAATGACACCCGAATTAGGGCCATTGCCGGTACCGGCACCGGAGTTACCACCGATGGAGTCATTGGAACCGCAATCACCGACGACGCCATCATTGCAACCGACTATAAAATATTGGATATTGGATATTTTACAAAATGCCCTAAAAAGTCTTAAGTCAGCGCCACCGAAGACATCTGAACCGGTGCCACCGTCATCATCATCATCATCACCGGCTCAGTCGTCACCGGTCAAGCAATTAAAGTCATTGAAGTCTAACGACAAACAACAGTCATGCCTGTCATCATCTCCATCGACGCCCGAGTCCTTACCGGTAAAGCAGTTATCGGAATCATTGGCACAATCTTCGGGATCGCAGTCGCAGTCATTAGATATCATACAAAATGCTTTGAAAAATCTCAAAAAGTCTGCACTATCACCACCACCGCGACCGCAGTCATCGGCAAATCAATTACCCACTGAACCGCCGCAGACATTCCCGAAGCCCATGCGGTCACCGGCACTGCAGCTATCGAGACAGCCGTCGCAATCAACTGGACAGCATTTACCGACGTCGACGCCGCCGCCGCCGCCGCAAACATTGCCCAAACCTCCGCGATCACCAGTACTACAGTCATCCAGTCCGCCGACGCCTAAGTCTTCGGAACCTCAATTATCTATAGCCCGGCCGCAGTCACTGGCACTGCAATCATCGGTATGGCCGCCACCACCACCGGAGTCGCAATTGGAGTCTCCGACACTTGAATCATCGGAATGGCCGCCACCACCACCACCACCACCACCGGTGTCGCAATCGGAGTCTCCGACACTGCAATCATCGCAATGGCCACCACCGCCACCATCAGCTCTGGCGTCGCCATCGCAGTCTCCGGCATTGCAATCATCGGTATGGCCACCATTACCACCGCCGGCGTTACCATCACAGTGTCCGGCACTGCAATCATCGGTACCGCCACCACCACCGGAGTCGCAATTGCAGTCTCAGGCACTGCAGTCATCGGTACCGCAGTCGCCACTGGCGTCGCAATCGCAGTCTCAGGCACTGCAATCATCGGTACCGCCACCACCACCGCCGCCGCCAATGACAGCTATAGCAATAAATCCAGAAGCTATCAGAGCCAACACACTTAATGGCTCATCAAAGACATCGCCGCCGCTATCACTGTCGTCATGCCAGCCATCCATTAATACAACTGTATTGGCAGAGGCTATGAAAAATCTGAAACCACGTCAACAACTGACTGGCGAATCGGACAGTAGTCTTGTGGACAACAAATCGGAACCGATTAGCAGTAGTAGTAATGATATCTTTGATGCATTAAAACGAAAAATTTCTGGACGCAAACAACCAGAAGACAGCAGTTCATCGGATGATGACTCGGATGGCGAAACAGATGACTTCGAGGATAACAATTTTGATGTCTAAAAAAATTTATTTTTTTTTGTCAATACAATTGATTTTTTTCTACTAAACTTTTTTTTGTTGTTAAATTTAAACTATTCAATAGTTAAGTATTTTTTTAAATTTTAATTAATTAATCTAAAGTATTTATATAATATATTTAAAAAAAAATTAAAATAATAATTTTATACTTAATTTTATGCTTAATTTTTTTTATCTTAATTTTATTTTTAGTAAATTTCATTTAAATATAGTATTTAATTATAATACTGTTTTTTTTGTTTTATAGCTATGTTTTTGTAATAATTAATTATAATTAAAATCTATTTAAATAAATTTATTAAACTTTTTTTTTATGTTTTATCAACAAAAAAAAATATGTGTTAATAATAACAACTCGTCCGACAAACTGATGATAACAATCGGTAGTTACAAAAAAATTGTTGTCAATCTATATATAATATTTTGAACATCAATTGTAATTAATTTATACACCAAAATTGTAAGCTTAAACAAAACTAAACTGAATAATTAGTAATTAATAAGATTTTTTTTTTAATTATAAGTTATATATTATATATATATATTTTTTTGTATAATACAATAATTTTATTTAAACAACAAAACAATAATCATTTACATAGATCTCTATCATTATCTATACAACTCTCTCTCTCTCTCTCTCTCTCTCTCTCTCTCTCTCTCTCTCTCTCTCTCTCTCTCTCTCTCTGTTTGTGAAGTGAGCATCAGTTTTGAGTTGTAATCAATTTATAACAACAATAAAAACAACAAAAATAAACTATATTTAAGATTGTATAATACAATAATCAATTAATATTAATATATATTAATTTTTTAATAATATATTTTAATATTATAATAAATATAATTTATTAATTTTACTTAATTTCAAATATTAATAAAATTATTTAAAAATAGTTTTATATTTTTATTCATTTTAAGTTTTACTCATTAATACAATCGTATAATTTTTAGGACTAATTACAAAGGATTTGTCTGGATTTGGATTCAAACCCTGATGACTGTCCAAAACTATATCATAGTTTCGGGTCGATTGTAGAAAACGGACCAAAACTAGAAACAGTTCAACAATTGCTAAACTTTCGCCCAAACATTGACGACGTCCGACACCGAACGGTATGAATGCCTGAGAAAAACTGGTTGTCCTATAAGTACCGTCAGTAGTGTCGATGAAACGGTCGGGTATAAAGTCATCGACATTAGCGATCGTCCAATATTTTGTGTCCAAATTGTTTCTCAATATAAATCCCTGATACGCATACAAAATCGTACCTTTAGTTATTTTATAGGTACCTAAAAAAAATTTTTTGTTTTATATATTTACAACAACAACAAAAATTAAATTAAAATTATTATTTGTAGATATTATATACAGTAAATATATTATTATTATTATTATTACCTATTTTGCTGTCGACCATTGATTTGTGTCCGCCACCAAATGGCGATACATTTCTAAATCTTAACGTTTCGGCCAGAAATGCCATCACATATGGACAGTGTTGTCTGTCCTGATGTACGGGCAATCGGTTACCGATTTTCGATTCAATTTCCAGTTTCAATCGGTACTGCATTTCTGGATAATAGGCCATCAATAGTAACAGCCATTGAAATGTTTGTTCCGATGTATCGATTCCGGCAAAAATCATTTCAAACACACACATCGATAGCCGTTCATCGGTTAGATAGTCAGCCGATTGGTGGCCATCCTTTAGGGCAAAATTTTTAGCTTCAATAAGTGTATCGCAAAAATCTCGTTGAAAATTAGGATTATAATCAATATAATGTGATTTGAATTTTTTCAAAATCAATTCACGCATTTCACTGAAAGCTTTTGACTTTTTATCGTTGACTTTACTGCCAAACCATTTCAATGGATTTAAATATTCAATTAAAAGCGATTTAACAGAAATTTCATTATTAATATTTTTCAATACATATTTAAATTTAACGAACTCTTTATCATTAGTATTGTAACTAAAAAAATAAAATAAATAATTTAAAATTATAATTTAAACAATATTTGATTTTATATAATTATATTTATATACATACTGTATATAATTTTAAATGATATAGTATTTTTAATAAGTGTTTTAATAACTTATTTGAATGTAATTATTTGATTTAAAAAAAAAATTACATTATTAATAATCTTTATTAGGATTAAGATATATGCCAATTTACCTAGATTATTTTTTTAATTATAAATAAATTAAGATATATGCTAATTTTTCTAAACAATTTTTTTTAAAACTATAAATAAAAAATACGCTTAAAAAACTGATAAATATTATATATATATATATATAAATATATATATAGCTAGAGCAAATGTGAGATTATTAAGATATATGTGAATTTACCTAGACAATTTTTTTAAAACTATAAATAAAAATACGCTTAAAAAATTCAATAAACATATAATTTTCAGTTAATTAAAATACTTAAATATAAATAAAAAATAAATTGTTTAAATACTTTTCATTGAACGAACTGTTGGTCATAATGTTGAGAAACATTAGATATATATAATCCTCGGGTTTAATAGGTTTGTCCGGACCCTCCCTTTCCAACATTGATTCAACTGTTTTGTCCACACAGTCGACCACTACGTTAACTAACTGTTCATTTGTTGAATATTTTCTAATAAATATATTATCAAATAAATTAATTAATTATTATTATTTTTTATTTTATTTTTGTTTTAGTATATTAAAAAAAATAATTATTTAATTTATTGTTTTAGTTTTGTCCGTTTATTATCTAATAATAATAATAATTATAATACTGTAAATTTATTATACAATATATACAGTTTATTAGTTATGCTATTAGTACTTACTATGATTAGTATTATTATTATTTTATTAGCTATTTGTGTATGTGTATGTGTATGTGTATGTGTATGTGTATGTGTATGTGTATGTGTATGTGTATGTGTATGTGTATGTGTATGTGTATGTGTATGTGTATGTGTATGTGTATGTGTATGTGTATGTGTATGTGTATGTGTATGTGTATGTGTATGTGTATGTGTATGTGTATGTGTATGTGTATGTGTATGTGTATGTGTATGTGTATGTGTATGTGTATGTGTATGTGTATGTGTATGTGTATGTGTATGTGTATGTGTATGTGTATGTGTATGTGTATGTGTATGTGTATGTGTATGTGTATGTGTATGTGTTATTATTACTAATTATTATTTCAATATATAAAAATGTCCATGGTACATTACATAACTGCTGAGTGTCCAATACGTCTAATTATTTTCCAACTGCGCCCGTAATCACTCATTGATACACTATTTGGCATTAGTGCTGCTATAAAAGTAAATAAAAGTAATAATAATTATTAATATATAATTTTTTTTTAAATACTTTCTATATATATATATTTATATTAATTTTTATAATTACACATTATATACACAACAAACTAAACTAAATTCATTTGAATTCAACTTTTTTTTTAAATGTTTCAATAAAATTTTATGCAAAAAATTATTTTTGATATTATTTGGTAATTTATGGTATTATTAATCTCTCTCTCTCTCTCTCTCTCTCTCTCTCTCTCTCTCTCTCTCTCTCTCTCTCTCTCTCTCTCTATTTTCTTTCACTATTTAGTGTTGGCAAAAAAGAAAAATTTATAAAAATAATAGAGAAATTTCTAGAAAGTTTCTAAAAGAAATTTCTATTTATGGGATACCCATGGTTAATTTTGTTTTCTCGATATTTGTTATAGTTAACATTGTTTTTATAAGTAATATTTAAATATTATTATTAGTATTTTAATTATTAATTAAAGTAAAAAATTAATTTATTTTATTATATTAAACTATGGTATAATAAAATGGTGAATAAAATTTTACAAAACTGATTATTATTAAATAATTATAATTATTTATATAGGTATCCCATTTGTATAATAGTATTATACAGTAATCTACATTATATAGTATAATATTATATGTATAGAATTAATGTCTCATTAATATATTAATACTTTTACAATATCTATAGATATGGGGATCCCATAGTATAATAAAAAAAAGTTAAATTTCTATAGAAATTTTCTTACTGAGAAACTTTCTAGAAACTTTCTCAGGTAAAAATTTATTAGAAACTTTCTATTTGCCCATCTCTATCACTATCTCACTCACTCACTCACTCACTCACTCACTCACTCACTCACTCACTAACTCTCTCTCTTTCTCTCTCACATTATAATAATAATTTAGTTTTAATAATTACTGAGATAATTGTTAGGTCGTCCCGAAAAATCAGGTTTACTAAACAGTTGTCGGGCTATATCGGCATCAGTTATAATCATATGAGGAATATTACCAAAATAGAAGGTAAATATTGGTCCATATTTTTTAGCCATTTCCCTAAACGAGTCGTCCCAAAATTTTGTCAAAATATCTAAAAAAGAAAAAAAAAAGAAAATGGTAAACAAAAAAATTAATTAATTAATTAATTTTATATATTATTTAGATAATTTATTTTTTACTAATATAGTGAACATTTAATTAACATATTAATTTAAATTGTTATTTTTTTTAATAACTTACTTAACATATTGCCTATTATAGGTAATGGAAATGGACCGGGAGGTAGACTATAATATTGGTAATAAAATTTAGCCAATTTATAGACTAGAAAACCTAATAATAAACATAATATTGTTTGCCATAAATCTATTAGAAATATAAATGAATATAATTGTTTAAACAAAAACATAATGTATTTATTGTTTAAATGTATAAACAATTCTATAAAATAATAAGATTTTCTGATATAACTTATAATAAAACTAAAAAAATTACATATAATATATGTATCTCTCTCTCTCTCTAGTTATATATTAAGAGTTTATTTGAAAGTCATAGCATGAGTAAACGTTATTTTAATAAATTTAATTTATTTTCTAAACTATCTTAAAATTAATTTTTGCTAAAAAAAATATTAAAATACACAAATATTGAATATATACTAATATGTCGTAAAATTTGATTAATTATATTAAATACTATACAACTTGAAATTTATTAGTTAAATGTAGAAACAATTTATTAATTAAATATTCTATAAAATAAATAAGTTTTTCTGTTAAATATTATAACTTATAATTCTACACTATTGCTTAAAAGTCAAATATTTAAAAAAAAATTTTGATAATATATTATGTTTATAACATTTCGGTTAAATATTTTAAAATTTTTTTAATTTAATAAAAGCTTCTAATTAAATAAAAATTAGCAAAAATTAAAAAAAACAATTATTTATTATTTAATAATTTAATATTTAATAAATAAAACAAATTTTATATACATTATTTATATATATACAGTAATTATTTAATTAATTTCTATAACCTTTGACAGTAATCTGGCAACCTTAGCTTAAGTTATTTACTTTAAGATGAATAAACGTTTTATATATATATTATTATTTAACATAACTTAATAAAAAAATATTATGTTATAGTTAGTTAAGCAACATTTTTTTTTTTAAATATTTATAATAGAAATTATTATTTATTATGTGTAAATGTACACTAAAAAAATTTATGCAAAAAAAATTAATTTTTTATATTATTTGCTAATACAGTATATGGTATTATTAATATCTCTCACTCTCTCACTCTCTCACTCTCTCACTCTCTCACTCTCTCACTCTCTCACTCTCTCACTCTCTCACTCTCTCACTCTCTCACTCTCTCACTCTCTCACTCTCTCACTCTCTCACTCTCTCACTCTCTCACTCTCTCACTCTCTCACTCTCTCACTCTCTCACTCTCTCACTCTCTCACTCTCTCACTCTCTCACTCTCTCACTCTCTCACTCTCTCACTCTCTCACTCTCTCACTCTCTCACTCTCTCACTCTCTCACTCTCTCACTCTCTCACTCTCTCACTCTCTCACTCTCTCACTCTCTCACTCTCTCACTCTCTCACTCTCTCACTCTCTCACTCTCTCACTCTCTCACTCTCTCACTCTCTCACTCTCTCACTCTCTCAATATCTCTCTCTCTCTCTCTCTCTCTCTCTTTCTCTCTCACACATACTATCTCTCTTTCAAATTTTTTTATTATTTAATAAATTAAAACAACAAATATTTATAATTATTAGTAAAAATTAAAAAAAATAATTATTTATTATTTAATAAATTTAAAATATTTAATTAATAAAACCCAGTTGAGAACTCATTGTAATCACACCAACAAAAAAATAACAAATACATTTTATATACATTATTTATATTTATATATAGTAATTATTTTATTAATTTTAGCAGTAATCTGGCAACCTTAGCTTAAGTTATTTACTTTAAGATGAATAAACTTTATGTATATATATATATATATATATATATATATATTATTAATGATAAATTTATTTATTTATATAATAAATAATTAGTTATTTATGTTAAAGTTAATTTTGCAACATTTTTTTTTTTTTAAATATTTATAATAGAAATTATTATTTATTATGTGTTAATGTACACTAAAAAAAACACAACTTGCAATTTAAGTTAAATAATTTTTTTTTTATTATTTAATTAATTAAAACAACAATTATTTATAATGACTTATTAAAAAATATATAAATATGATAAGTATTTAATTTAAATTAAAATAAATTAAGCATTTATACAAAATTATACAAAAATATTTTACCTATTACATAACTTTTAATGTTTTTTTTAAATTAATTTTAATCAACTTTTATTGAAGTTTTTTTTATAATAAATATCATTTTACCATAATTTCACACTATTTATTAATTGATAAAAATATTTTTATTAAATATAATATTTATTAAAATTATTAATTAAATTTTATAAAAAAAAATATGTATGCTATCATTTATTAATTGAATTGTAAATGATTTTTTTATATTTAATAATTATACAGTTGTTATATATATATATAAATTACAAAATTAATTTTTAACTAATAAATTGTCGGCCAAGAGGCCGACAATTAGATGAAAAAATGGTTTTATTAAAAGATAATTATAACGATTACATAATAGTGATTGGGTTGAGGGACAAAACGTTACTAAAGGGAGGAAAGGGATGTGATGTCAATATGTGCGGTGTGTCTGTCTGTACGATTGTAAATTACTGTCGACATCTGGTCGACAAAATAAAATATTTTATCAAAAAAAAATAAATAAATATAAAATTACTTATTTAATACTTTTTAAAGTAATGTATTATTAAGTTTTTCAAATTAGTCTATAAAAAAATAATAAATAACTTTTAACCAAACAATTTTCCTATTATTTTCCAACATATTCCCAGTAAAGTTTCCTATATATATATTATATATATTTCAGCTCCCTCAGGGAATTCCCATATTAATCTATTTCCTTATACTATCACCTATTTGAACCATAGAGTTATGTTATAGGATTTGAATAATAGCATTGAACTGTATTTTAAATGTAATTTGTTAAATAGTAATTTAACTAAATACATTTGAATTCAAATTTATTTATTTTTTTAAAGTATTTTCAATAAAATTTTATGCAAAAAAAAATTAATTTTTGATATTATTTGCTAATATATAGTATTACATTGTATTAATCTCTCTTTCTCTCTCTCACTATCTCTCTCTCTCTCTCTCTCTCTCACTATCTCTCTCTCTCTCTCACTATCTCTCTCTCTCTCACTATCTCTCTCTCTCTCTCTCTCTCACTATCTCTCTCTTTCTCTCTCTCACTATCTCTCTCTCTCTCTCTCTCACTATCTCTCTCTCTCTCTCTCTCACTATCTCTCTCTCTCTCTCTCTCTCACTATCTCTCTCTTTCTCTCTCTCACTATCTCTCTCTCTCTCTCTCTCACTATCTCTCTCTCTCTCTCTCTCACTATCTCTCTCTTTCTCTCTCTCACTATCTCTCTCTTTCTCTCTCTCACTATCTCTCTCTCTCTCTCACTATCTCTCTCTCTCTCTCACTATCTCTTTCTCTCTCTCACTATCTCTCTCTCTCTCTCTCTCTCACTATCTCTCTCTCTCTCACTATCTCTCTCTCTCTCTCTCACTATCTCTCTCTTTCTCACTATCTCTCTCTCTCTCTCTCTCACTATCTCTCTCTCTCTCTCTCTCACTATCTCTCTCTCTCTCTCTCTCTCTCTCACTMTCTCTCTCTCTCTCTCTCTCTCACTATCTCTCTCTTTCTCTCTCTCACTATCTCTCTCTCTCTCTCTCACTATCTCTCTCTCTCTCTCACTATCTCTCTCTTTCTCTCTCTCACTATCTCTCTCTTTCTCTCTCTCACTATCTCTCTCTCTCTCTCACTATCTCTCTCTCTCTCTCTCTCTCTCTCACTATCTCTCTCTCTCTCTCTCACTATCTCTCTCTCTCTCTCTCTCTCACTATCTCTCTCTCTCTCTCTCTCACTATCTCTCTCTCTCTCTCTCTCACTATCTCTCTCTCTCTCTCTCTCACTATCTCTCTCTCTCTCTCTCTCACTATCTCTCTCTCTCTCTCACTATCTCTCTCTCTCTCTCTCTCACTATCTCTCTCTCTCTCTCTCTGTTTGTGAATTGAACATCAGTTTCTGAGTTGTAATCAATTTATAACAACAATTAAAACAACAAAAATAAACTATAATTAAGATTTTTATTATAAGTTATATATATATTTTTTATATACTATAATACAATAATTTTATTTAAATAACAAAATAATTATAAAAAAAATCAATTAAATAGATCTCTCTGTGAATGGTATGTCTTGATGTCGTCCCTAACTGTTAGCAAATCATCTTTTTTACGTCTATTCAGAGCACAGTTATCTCCTTTGATATCTCGTTTGGCTTTCTTGGTCTTCACTCTCGAATCTTTCAGTTTCTTCTCTTTCTGTAGTTTTCCTTTGATCTCTTGCGGTGTAAAAGTCGTGGCAACCGATGTATTGCCACCAAAACTATAGTCACTTTTTTCTTCTTCGTCGTCATCATTATTACCGGTACTTAATATCGTCTCTTTTGTCTCTTCAGTTAATTGAAGACATTGTTTTAAATCTTGTGTCAATTGATTCACAACAACAGCAGCGGAACTGTTGCTGTCATCAGTTGTCGTTACATCTGTTGCCACCACTTTAGTGACATTTAATGTGTCTTTTGTTTCTAAATCTGTTGATATAATCTGTTTGTCTTCTCTTCTTCTTCTCGTTCTTCTACTATCGACAACATTATCGTCAATAATATCTTCATTTTCATCAATAATATCTTCACTTTCATCGTCATCACTGTTGATATCATCATCTATTTGGACATCAATTGTATGTTTATTACTACTATTGATATCTCTATCGATATCATCAAAAGTGGGAACAAAATCTGATTCATAAGCAAATCGTTTGGCAAAAAACTCGACAATACAGTTGACATCCCTCTGGAAGTAGGTCTCAGCCGATTCGTGTTCAACGGAAATCATTTGCGGAAAATCAATCAAAACTGGTTCAACACAACCGCCACCGCCAACCGATTCGGCGGTGTCCAATTTTACGATAATATTGAACTCATTGAAATCGCCGTGAACTACGCCAAACTCGTTGGCCAATCGGACAATCAATGACATCAATTGGTCGTACAACGACTTGACTGCTTCAACGTTGTTGTTGTTGTGTCCATCGGCTGCCGGGGAGGCGTCGTCAGTGTCAGCATCGGCGGGGGTGTTATCGCCGCCGCCGAAACAATCTCTGGTCAAATGATTCATTAGTATGCCGTCGATTAGTTCCATTACCAGACAGTGTCGGTTACAGTCAAACGGTTCGGGTATCGGTACGCCTTTGTCGTACAATAGTCGCATGAATGCCAACTCACGTTTGGCCGCCAACCGCGATAAATATAGCCAATTAGTTTTGTGTCCACCCGATCGCTGATAGTCACGTTTAGTCGAAACGGTACGAAAACACGTGCGACCCAACCGATGCATTTTTACGGCATACGTACGGCCGGAATCATCGGCAGCCATATAGACATCGCTTTCTTTGCCGACACCAATCTGATTGCCGACGCTGGCAATCACTTGCCGGTTGGCCAATGCGTTCAATGCTAGCAAATCGTATCCGCGATAAGTGAGTCGATAGCCGTCGTAACGTTTGCCCCGTTCGTAGGACAACAGCTGCGATTGGGTTAACTTCAACAGTACTTTGCCAATTGATCCGCCCCTGAGTCGGGCAATGGCCACTACCAGCGACTTCGGTACCAGTTCGTGATTTTTCATACCCATCTCGACGGCGGTCAATAGCCGTACTTCATCGGCGGTCATATAGCGTATCAACGATACATCGAGTTTAACCATTTTTTCGTTGTTGTTGTCTTCTTCTACTTCTAGTTCTTGTTGTTGTTGTCGGCGATTATATCACTTCCACTGTTTGGACAGTTAGTAGACCACAGATGACTGCGATAATTGGTTTCCCGACTCTCTCTCTCTCTCTCTCTCAACACGTGTTTCAATACATAGTGTTTGTAATGTCAATAGCAATGGTGTGTATAAACATCAATCAACACACAGACAAAAAAAAAGGCATAATTCCTATGCTTTGTTATAACAATGTTTTGGTACTATTTTATATATATTGTTGTTGTTATTATTATTACTGTACAGTATTGATCAGCTAAAGTGTTATAAGAATATAAAATATAAATATAAAGCGCATGTGTAATTAAATACAAATATAAATTGTCACAAAAGTTACGTAGAACTATAAAATTGTTTGATATGTTGTTATTTCTGAACATTTTATTAGTTTGACAATCATTAACGCATTATAGGTGTCTACGGACAATCATATAACTCATTATAGCTCTTTACGGAGTAACGAAATATTACGATGCATAACACAATGAGTAGTGTTAAAGCAGTTCCATCACTAACTATTAATGATAGTCCGTAAAGAGCTATAATGAGTTATATGATTGTCCGTAGACACCTATAATGCGTTAATGATTGTCAAACTAATAAAATGTTCAGAAATAACAACATGTCAAACAATTTTATAGTTCTACGTAACTTTTGTGACAATTTATATTTGTATTTAATTACACATGCGCTTTATATTTATATTTTATATCATTATAACAAGATAAAAGGCCAAATATGTACACAATATTTTTTGTTAAATGTTCAGACATTCACTCCATAGGCTCTCAACTTATAGATACTAAAACAAACAAAAAATATTTATTAATATAGTCTACTGTGTGTGTGTGTGTGTGTGTGCTATGTGTTTGTTTTGCCTGCAATACATTTCCAGGCTTTAGTTAGCGTAACACTTGAATTGAAATGTTTTTTTTCAATACAGGTATTTATAATTTAATACCTGTACAGTGTATTACTGTATTAAAAAAAAAAATTTTTTTTTAATTATACATTAATTTTTTATTTAACATTTTTTTTTTAATTTAAATAACTAGTGTCCTAACTATCAAATACTATTATTATTAAGTGTTATATTTATATATTTTATATTTATTATTTCAATTCAAAAAGTTAATATAAATTTTTTTTTTAAAAAAAGTGATTTTTATTTTAGTAGTCCAGAAAAAATGTGTTTTTTTTTATTTTAATTAGTAGCAAATAAATTGCTAAAATTTTAAACAACTTTTTTTTTTTTTAAAAATACCCCACAAAAAAATATTCAATTTATTCAAACATTTTTTTTTTTGTTTTTTTGTTAGACTTATTTGTCTATTATTGAGAGACAAATTGATATTTATTATCGTTGAAACCAAAATAAGTTTATGAATAATAATAATAATAATAATACGAAAAAAAAGTTATTTTTTTAGTCTACTAACTATTTTTGTTTTCTCCAGTCAATTGATTGGTAATTATAATATATATATACTGTATATAACTTATATGTAATTTAAATTAGTTTTTTTTCTCTCTCTCTCTCTCTTTCAAATATAATGATTGATTTAATGTTACTATTGAGTGAGTAAGGAAAGAGAGAGAGAGAGAGAGAGAGAGAGAGAGAGAGCAAAAAAATTAATTTAAATCCGTTTTTTAAAAGTTAATTGCAACTAAACATATATATATATATATATATGTATATATACAGTATATATATATGTACTATGATATAATCATATACTATATATTATTATACACAGTATATCTTTATTTTTTAAATTTTATTTTTCAATACAAATTGATTTTTTTTTGTTAGTAGTTAAGCAAAACAAAATAATAGTATAATTTTTATAAAACATGCAAACAGTTAATTTAAATTGATGTGACATTTTTAACACACACACACACACACACACACACACACACACACACACACATACATACATACATACATACATACATACATACATACATGCATACATACATACATACATACATACATACATACATACATACATACATACATACATACATACATGCATACATACATACATACATACATACATACATACATACATACATACATACATACATACACATGCAGACAAAACTAAAAATAATGTTTTATTCAAAAATCATTATTTAAATAATTTCAAAAAAATTAAAAATAAAATATTATAGCATTTAACTGTCATGTGTTAAACTCATTAAAATACTCATTTTGTCTTAATATACATATATTAATATATTATATATAATTATATAATATTCAGTATATATACATATACGTTAATTATATTATTTTTCTCACTATATATATATATATATATATATATATATATATATATAGATTGCAAGTATATATAAATTGCAAATCACTATAAATCAATTAAACTTATTAAAGTTTTTTTGTAAAATTGAGATCATCTAATTTTTTTTTGTGTGTAATTTTATGCTCAAAAAAAATACATAAAAATCATTAAAATAATTATCTCAAAAAAAATAATTTTATTTAAATGATATCCTAATGTTTTTATTATTATTATTATTATCATAACCGAAAAAAATAATAATAATAAAGATAATTCATTAATAAAAAAAATTCAAAAAAATATGATAATTACTATACAATAATCACTAGCTTTTCACACATAAAAAATATATGCATTTAGTATTATTTTTTTTGGGAAAAAATTAAAAATTATCTAGTTAATAAAAAATGCAGTTTTACGATAGCAACCAAGTTATATAATATATTATTATTTTTATTTTTTAAAAATAAATTATTATTATTAAAAATAGATAAACTATTTTTTTGCTGAATAGATAAAAGTTAAAAAAGTATGTGATGTTCAACAAAAAATATATAAATATAAAAACAATAAAATAAATTTAAATAATAAAAAATGTTAATTAACTTGAAATTTGGATCAGGGATTGACTAACTAACTAACTAACTAACTGACTGACTGACTGACTGACTACCCGGGCATTGATTGTATAGATGGATAGGTATATACTGTATATATATATATATTTAACGATAAACCAGATTTTTTTTGTTTAATAAATACCTACATATAAATAGATAGATATATAGATATATACATCTATACACATAATACATACACACATAATACATACACACATACATACACATACATACACATACACACACATAACCTGATCTTTTATATTATTATTATTATTATTTTTAACATAGAGATTGTGTCCACTGATAGTATTTTTTTATAAATGATTATATATTTATATATATAAAAAAAATCTAAATTAATACAGAGCGACCAATTTATTTATATACAGTATATATATATATATAATTAATACTGTTTTTTAAATTATATAATCTTATATATATATATAGATATACTATAGATATATAAATATAAAAGTTTAATAACATTAGTTACACACACACTTAAGTGTGTGTATGCTCTCAAATAAACACTTAAAACAAATTTTTATTTATCATATATTTTATTTTTAAAGACCCATTTTAATAATAATAATAATTATTATTATTATTTAAAAAAAAGTTCATTTCACTAGTATTTCATTTATTTATTTTATTTATTTATTTATTTATTTGATTTTATTGAACAAAATTTATTTTTATCATTTGTGATAAATATCTATCTATCTATATATTGATATCAATTTCCACAATAACAACAACAAAAACATTTTAGTTATTTACTTTTTTTTAGTATCATATATAATATATAAAAAGTTATTATAAGTTATTCACTGATATTTCTAAAATAAAATTATTTATAATATTATATATAAAAAAAAACTTTATTTATAAACTTATATATTATTAATATAATAATAAATTGAATTATAAAATTCATACCGGTAGTATTATTATTATTTTTATTTATTATTATAATGCGTTATAATAATAATAATAATAAAATATTTAAACCTATTATAGTGTAAAAATTATATTTAAAAAAAAATAAAAATTATAAAAAATTTTATTGATTAAATAATTTGAAATATTTATCAATACATAGTTTTATTTAGTATAAATTGTTGATATTTATAAATAAATTTTTTAAAAATTACAAATAAATTTTATGATAAAATACTAGATAATAAACATTATTATTATTATTATTCTATATATTCATCGATATATATATAAAGTATTTATTGTATTTATGATTTAAATTCACAAAAAATAATAATAATATTGTTTACAATGAAATTTTTTTTAGTATTATTATTAATATAATACGTTTAAGTTACTAAAATAATTTATTATTATTATTATTATTATTTAAAATATATGATATTAAATAATAAGTAATAAACACACTAAACACCAAAAAAAATTAAATTAAATCTTAAAAATTGTCTATTTATAAAATTATATTATTAAATATATTTTTTTTATAATATCATATACCAGTCTATAAAGATATATATATATATATATATATATGATTTGTTAGTTAATTACTTTATTGAAAAATTTTAACTCTACTGAATTTAAAATATCAAATTATAATTTTATTATTATTATTATTATTATTATTTAATAATTTTATTTTACACACACACACATAAAAAATTATCGTATAAAAAGATATTTAAAATATACAGCATATATATATAAATTTACAGATTAATAATAATAATAATAATAAAATAGTATCTAAAGATTGAGTGAGTTTAATGCATTTATAATAATGTATATTAAGGTGACCTCAATTTATACAGTTAAACACTTAAACGGTTTTTTAGGGATTCAACTTAAATGGTGTGTACTGTATATAGTAGTAGTTTTAGTAGAAACTTACCGGAAAATTTTGATTTAAATGTTTTCATTAAAAAAAAATGTTTTCAAGTAATTTTGTTATTGAAAAATTACATATATATATATATATATTGTAAATAAAGTAATTGTTTGATTATTAATTTTGTAAAAATCAATTATTAATTTTAAATTCAATTGTTGTTTTAGTTTAACTAAATGGTATTTTTACTATCTCTCTCTATATAATAATTATTATTATTATTTAATTTTTTTATCTATATGATTTAAATAATATAAATATTAAATTATAAAATATCTTATACATTATTATACTATTATATAATACAACTATAATTTATATTATAATTA